GTTTCATCAAATTCAAACTCTACGGTGACTGATTTGAATTTTGGTTAGAGGATGATGACTTCTTCGGGCCCGAAGTTTGATATTTCACTAACGGCAAGACAAATCTGATGGCAGATGAGGAGCACGAGTTGGTTGGTGTGTATACTCGAGGAGGACAATGTCAGATTAGGTGGAGCTTACAAGCGGGCACGACCGAGTAACACACATGGAGATGAAGATGGTGGCGTTGGACTTGAAGATGGTGAGCGCTCATATTCAGTTTAAGCCAAGTAATGGAGGAGATAGAGGCATCCGGCTCGTAGTGTAGAGTAGGAGAGGTGCACCGATGTGATTTGAGACGAGCGATGCAGGTGGAGCACAAGGACAACAAGAGGGGTGGAGGCGTCACGGCGAAGCAGAAGATAGTGAGGATCATGAAGGCATCCAATTGGGAGTGCGGGTGTTCTGATTTGAAGTGCGAAAGAAATAGAAGACTCTAGCGGAAGAGACAAAGTTTCAAGACGACGATGGTATATCTTCAAGGGAGTTTTGGAATCAAATCCAATGTGGAGATTGTTGGGATTTTGTCTTTGATTCTTTGTGTAACTTCATGAGAATTAGATAGGGTTAGAGTTCTATTATGATTAGGAGCTTGAGTTCTATCATAATTAGGAGTTTGGGTTTTATCATGATTAGGAGTTTGAATCCTATTCTAATTAGGAAGTTAGGCTAGAAATAGGGTTTTAGTTTCTCTATATATATTCTTCTATTGGTGGAAGAAAAACCATGAAGAAAAAGTAGAGATGTAGTAGATGAGAGAGAGAGGGGGGGTTTCGTAGTCTTTATCCGTACAAAAGATTACAAGGAGTGAGCTTTGGAGAGAATGTGAGAGTTGATTATATTTGTGAGGTTAAGAGATTGAGAGACGGGAGTTGAGTGGTTCCTCTTGTAGTTCTCCCTGATACATAGTGAATTTCTCGTATTGTTGTCTCGTGGACGTAGGTCGAAGTTGGTCGACCGAACTACGTAAATCTTGGTGTTTTTTTCCTTGATTGTGGTTGTTCTATCTTATTTATTGAGGTTGGCTTCCGAGTTGCGCATATCGTGGTAGACGGGGAGACTGAAATTCCCCTACATGGGGTTGGGCTAGGTTAGCCCTTAACCCAAACCCAACCCCCGATTTTTGGGGTGAAACCGAACGACTGCTATCAACGCGACTGCCACTAGCAGTCCTCTGTTAGAACAGGGAGAATATTTTCTTCTATTAAGTTGAAGTTATGAACATTTTTAACTATAGTGTATTTGACATACCACGTGCTACTTGTTGTCTAGAGCTTACAAGTTAGAAGGCATAAACACTAATTTCATCCTAGGGGGTGTTTGGTTCACCCATTTTATAAAAAAGTTTTGAGAAAACACCTGACAATGGCATTTTTATAAATAATAGGTATATTTTCGTAAAGTAAGTTTAGTTTTAAAAAATTTATAGAAATGTTTTCTATAAAGTAGGGGAAATGTGTTGTTTTATGGAAATCAACTTCCTCTCCAAATGAGAGGAAATTGCCTAGAAATCTGATACATGTATTAAAACATAGTTAAGTACACCAATATCATTCCCCATGTGATTTCTTATGGGCATTGTTAGTAATTTATTTTCTATAAAGTGATATCCATCCAAACAAAAGAAAAAGAAAACAACGTATTTTCTATAAAGTTAGGTACTTTTTCATACTTTGAACCAAACAAATAAATAACAAAAAATAAGAAATATACTACTCTTTGAGTTCTATAAAATTTTCCTACAAATTTTATAGAAATACAAGGAAATCAAATTTTGAGCACATTTCTTTTTCCTTTTTTTTAGAAAATTAGCCAAACAGCCTCTTAGATGATATATAGATCTATGAATTGCTATTTACTATTCTTTATTCAACACAACCTGAACTTGTAAAAAGGACAAATTTTCAAAAAAGACTCATTTATAACTTTATTCACCAAAATCGACTCATTTCAAACATATTCACAAAAATCGACCCAGTTTTAACTAGGTCAAAAGATTTTTTTTCTACTTAGTCGGGGTTGACAATTCCGACTAGTTAGTAATCCAGTTAATTAATCTTCTAAATAGTTGGGGTTGGCAACCGTGACTATTTTGAATTACAATTTTAGTCCCCACTACTAACTCATGATTAATTAGTAACTCGGTTAATTAACCTTCTAAATAACCGGGGTTGGCAACTGTGACTATTTGGAACTGCAATTCAACCCCCGCTACTAACATGTGCGTCTAATTAGTTGGTGTTGGAAACCCCGACTAATTAAAAAGAAGCGCTTATTTTAAAATCGACCCATTTCATTATGCGTTGCTGACGTGGCCGGAACTGGGTTGATTTTTGTAAATAAATTTGAATGAGTTGATTTTGGAGAATAAAATTGTAAATGGGTCTATTTTAAAAATTTCTCTCTTGTAAAAAGTGTAAAATATCATATGCAGTGATAAGAGATTTTCTAATACTAAAAGATGATTTATATTTTTCCCTTTTCTTTCTTTTCCTTTCCTTCCCTTGGATGTCTCTGTTTGCTCTTCTAATCTTCTTTTATCTTTTTTTCTAAAAAAGAATCTCTCTTATTACTTGTTTTCTATGATTTCTCCATGCACTTTCTGTCAATCTAGAAATTCGTTTGGCTACCTTTTTTCTTGCTATACTGAATAATCTATATCACTTGTGATGCTGATTAATAATATTATAACAAATTTCTAACCTGTAAACAGACCTTTGGTCTCTTGGATGCTGAAGAAGTTAGAAAGGGGAAGAGCTCTTGTAGCCAGCTCTTTGGGCGCATGGACATGCACTTTTATCTCACTCCAAGGGCAGTTGCAAGCGGTAACTATAGGAAAAGAAGTAGAACACTGCAATGAAGCAAAAGGGTAGCCCAGTGCACGAGTCTCCCACCATTATGGGCTCTAGAAAGGGTCCCCGCATGCGAAAAGGCTATTTCCAGGATTTGAACTCATGACCTCCAGGTCACAAGGCAACAACCTTACTGATACGCCAAGGCTCACCCTCAACACTGTGTAATGAAGCAATTTTCCTCTAATTTCTCCTCAACACTGTTTAATGAAGCAATTTTCCTCTCTCCGTAAAATTTTTTATGTACATTAACTTGTAACATATAAGAGTGATATATCCAGTTTCTGTAATAGAATTAGGCCATCCCTATTCATTGCTCTACCTGAAGAGTTGATTCAGTAACTGAAGAGGAAAAGGGGGGAAAACTTCGAGGATTATTTTTAACTGAAGTATGATGTGGTCTCAAGAACCTCCGCGTATAGGCCACTCACATTCCCTTTTCCCTCCAAATCCATTCATTTACAGGCAAATTCATATAGAAGTTCTTCCAGCCCAATGAAGTCACTGAAATATATAAGCAGATTGGCACCCGGTGGTATCGTTGTTCTGAACTTACCACCTCTCAGGTTTTAATTTTGTGAATAGACTCCTGCCTGAATTCTTTCGACTCTTTTGCACTCGGAAAGTCTTGGTAAGCAACCAGACATAGTATCTGTCAAATTTTCAGCCACTATAAACAAGTCACAAAAATTCAATCCGGAGGTCCACTGCAAAAATTGAACTAGAGGGATCATAAGTTTCAGAACATCGAGTCTACAGAGGGTCTATTCAAAATAAACCCTTTCAGTATTCATAAAGAGATTGCTGTGGTTATCGTATGTAAGTTCTTGGTTCAAGGATCAAATGCCAATGAACCAGTAAAATACTTCAGGTACTATAAATATAAGAAACATCCTTCTTTAAACACCAGAGCAAAGAGGATTAAAAGAAAAAAAGGCATCATGAACAAAATAAATGCTGGACATTTTAACTGAAAAGCACTGCATCACTGTGTACGATTTCAAATTGCAGAATCCCCGATAAAACAAATGTAAGTGATGAATACAGGTGAAAAAGTGCAAGAAAATTCAGATTCCAGTCAATGTTGGATAACAAAGACCACACGCAACTATTACTTTTCCTCCATAACCCCCGTCCATCATTAAGGTACACTATTTTTTAAGTTTTAAGCAATGATAGACAAAGGCTCATTGATAATTCTCAATCGAAACGAAACTAACAAAATAAGATATCTGAGCTCCTTAGTCTGCATCCATCTCCTCTAGTGCTGCTTTCGCAGCTGCCTTAGCTTCCTCTAGGAGAGCATCTGGAACCTGTGGATTTCAAAATACAATAAAAAGTAATGTACTTTTTTCATCTATTATAGAGAAAAGTGTGCTACAATCAAAGGTGATGAGACCCAATAACTATGAGCAAATTCAGACAAAATCCACTGTACCAAAAGCATGTACATTCATTTTACAATGGTAAATAGTTTAGCTGTCATCTCATGGTCCTCATGATTAAAAGGGTAATTTTCAGGACCTTAGTAGCATAGGTAGGTATTTTCTATTTGAATGGCTTACTGAAAAGAAATACCCAATTCTACCGCGACTAGTCTAATCATATCCATTAAATGTTTTCGGTAAACTTCACTGTTAACCGAAGGGCTATTAGCAGTGATAATTTAGAAGTAACAAATGCTAACCAAGATGTCATCAAGATTTAGTTTTATGCAACCCCAAGCAATAACGTATAAGTACCAATACACTATACAACATTTTAAGAAAATTAAAGTGTCAGCTTTGCATCACGTGGGAGATAATGGTGTCATGGCACAAACTGAGTACATAGTTGCACTTCTATTAGGCATTATGTACAAAGTTCTGATATCTTTGCCTTTACATCTACAGTGTTCAGTACTTAAAACTCCCTACGCAATTTGGGTAGCGTCAATGTGTATCAGTTAATATATTGGCATAGTGGATAACTCAAAATGGCTCCTAAACTCCCCTATGGTCCTGTTTTGAGCAAGAGGTTCTCAATTTTGTGTCCAATCTTAGTACAGCCAATTTTCTCTGCCTATCCATTTTGTTTCTCTGTGGCTGAAGAAAAGTAAACTAAGAGCTTCTGAACTTTACACATTAGTGTAAAGAATTATATTTTTACATATTTTTATAGAAGCCTCCAGCAAAGGCACATAACTGGATAAGTGGTATATGATTTTTTTTTCCTCTCCAAAGAAAAGGGACAAAATGTACATCTGATGTCCAAATAAAAACAGGAATTCACATTTAGAGATAATTAGACTAAGTGCACATGAAACAATTACTAAATAATATTTGGTGTCAATTTGCAGTTAAAAGTTCCAAACTGGACTATAATTATAAATGACAGAGAGCTCTGTCATCTACAAATACACAAGGACAAAAACAACTAAAATAACTGAAGAGGAAGTACAAGGTGGTAATACTACACTCTAGGAGCTCAACAAAGATACTATAAGAAACATTTATTCAGATAATGCAATAGAGAAGTCTACATAGCAACAAATCAGCATTGAATAAAACTTCCAGTTAGTAACCTTTCCCTTATGCGAATTTATATCTAAAAGCATCAATATACAAACATTGAGATAGTTGTACTTATGTGCAATACAACGTGCATGTAGGTGTGCATTGTGATGATTAAAAATCCCTTACATGAATCTTCCTCTAAAAGCATCAATATACAAACAGTGAGATAGTTGTGTTAATGGATTATGTGTGTTTGTGCATTGTGATTAAAAAAACCTATGAAATCTCATACCAGCTAGTGATGTCATCATAACTGAGTCACAGCAAATTATAGATACAAGTAACCTGGGTCAACATTCTGTATTTGGAATCAATCAAAATAGTGATTTACCTTCTGATGTTGGCGGTTCGATTCATCACAAACCCAACTGAGTTCCAACTCAAAGGCTTTGTCCTTCGCCTCATCATGTACCCCATATATTCTGCATGCCAAAAGATATTGTAAATGGCTAAATTCTACAAAGTATATGGAAAGAAATCATAGCTAAAAAAGAATTAAAATGAATAAAGAAAGTAGGATATCCCTTTTCTGCTCCCGTTATCAGGTTTCTTTGGCTAGTCAAATTTTCTAACCTTCGGCAAAAATATATTTATACTCTTTCCTGAATTAAACTTCACGAATTAAAAAAAATTGCAAATATGATGGAAACTAATATGTAGTAAATAAGAACAGGGAGACATTATCTTTCCAAACCATTTCAAAGTTGGAGAAGAAGGCAGATTCTTCAAGGCTAATGTCAAATAATAACGAGATAAAAGTTTACTAGTTGTTCTAAAAAAGAAATTCATAGTATCAAAAGCTTGCCTGCACAACTACCAAAAATAAGGAACTGCTGAATCTTGTACTACACAAAGAGGGACTTGCATCAAGCAGCAGCGAGATAAAGTTAAAGCTATTAAGACAACTACTTGCATGTGTTAAGGAACTACTGCCACCGACCCCCACCCCAATGTGAGAGAGAGAGAGAGAGAGAGAGAGAGAGAGAGAGAGAGCACCACACACATGTACACAAATGGATATCATGAATGCCAAAACAACCCAAGCTCAACAATATTTAGAAAATTTTAATGATGAAACCTGATGCAGAAGAAAAGAATGAAAGAAAATTGAAGCTGAACTAGAACAGTGTAATGGTAAAGAAAAAATCACAACCAGAAAGCGAAAGAAGCAAAACGTCAACCATCATAGAATGAAAATATCAATGAAGATTAGTAAAACAATCATGACAGAAAACATTGAGAAAAAGAGGAAGATAGAAGAAAATTAATGTGAAAATTGTCAAGGTAATAGGAGTTAGGCAATTGCAGTATATCATCAATTAGGAAACTGACAGGTTTTTACAATTAAGGGAGGGATGGATGGGGGAAACCAGAAATACAAATAAATAATGAATGCACTGGAGTTACTTACATCTTGGCGACTTCAATAACACCTTCTCTACAAGTCATTTCAGAGAGCTTAAGCTTCTCTATCTCCCTGTGTATCACCAATAATTAGAAAGCCATGATTCCAAATTATGATCTATAAATATAAATTTCAATATGTACCTTGCTAAATTACAAAAGGTACAATATAATGTGATAAAATATTATATTACAATGCATATAGATCTCTACTCATATACTTGTGAAGAAATGATTGAATAGTAGGACACACAAAAAAATGGACAAGCTGACAGCTGAATGTTATTTTACTGCATGGCAGATGCTTTGATGTGTACGCATGTGTATGCGGCATCACATGCATCTTAAGTTCTGATCCTTTTCACCCGATCAGACATCAAGAAGTGAGATGAAATTTTCATTTAAGTTATATCATATTACAGCTATAATCTGAAAGGCAGTGATCTATGAACAAGAAAAATGAGGTGAACTTTTATTTATATTATCATGTCACAGCTATAATCACCGCAATGATATGCAAACAGATAATTACAAACTCACGTTTTGGCAGCCTGTCTTCCCTTCCCAATTGCAGCACCAAAGTACCTCTGTGGATGCACCATAAAATAAAGAATGTAAATTACAAGTAACTAACAACCTAAATACAGGTAGATGAATATTTAAAGATGATGCCTGGAGTTCATGTACATAACAAACTCAGACTTAATTGCATATTACATGTCGCTTCAGCACAGCGAGACACGCAATCATGTGCGCATGAACATGTTTCAATATTGAGAATAAAATATTACAGCCTGGGAATAATCATCATCTCTTTAGCTTATGCGAATCATGCTTTATTGTTTACTCACATAAGAAACTCCTGAGGGTTCCACCATGTACAGTTGTGGTCCATCTCTATCATAACCTCCAAGTATAACTCCACAGCCAAAAGGTCTGCAACATAAAGACACCTTTAGTTTATAAGTGAAAGGGTAATACCACTAATGATTGATCTCATAAATTCTTTTCTGAAGCGAAAATGTACGATCAGTATTCTCACCGTAACCACCAATAAAGTGTACAGAGATGAACATAACTAGCTACTCTGTCTGCAAGTTCTTTCACTGGCATAGGTTCGCCATAAGTCCTGTTAGAAAACCCAACGTTACTATCTTAATCTTAAAAAAGTATACTAGTATGGGTTCAAGAGTTGAAGATGCTCACTTTTCAAAGTTAGTTGCTTCAGACTTTGCACGCGCAACAATCTGTCTACCATCTGCTGCTAGGCCAGCTACAGCCTATTATGATAGAGCCAGAAAATGAAGATAAAATAAGCGGGAAATGAACATACAAAATATTCTACATAATATGAGAGATAACTCAGATAAGGCATTTATTTACAAGAGGAGACATCATTACAGATGTGAGTCATATGACAAGAAATCAAAGGCTCCTTCCAAGAGGTCTATGGTTATAGACAGCTCTCCAAGATAACATAACAGGAATGTTTGTAAAAGTTGATGGCCATATAGTTATTGATATGCTAATCGGTTATTGAAAAGATATTATAGAAACCATCAACCATACAACCAAACAGTCACATAGCTTTAAAGAGGCTAGCATTGGGAACTGAGTTTAAGAGACATTGATGCAGGAATCAAACGATTAGGTGCATGTTGAAACCAGGATCATGTTAATGTACATCAACCTTTGAGCTTTTCAATTTTGGCCTATATTATCCAGCTGTAGCTAACAAGTTAGACTATAATTGCTTAATTTCTTGTAATAAATATAAAACTTGTCGGTATTTGATTTAAATGGATTTCTAGCATGACTAAGCTCTAATTTTATGACTGGATGGTATGCTATTCTTATCAACTTTAATCCCATTTGATCCAATAGCTGCAGCAGAATGAATGAGAGGAAGGGGGGGGAAAAGATTTGAGCAATGCAAAAAATATAATAGAAAGAAAAATCCTGTCACTTAGTGTCTACTTCTTCTTCTTCTTCTTTTAAAAGTTTTATGCTACCCAACTCATGAACCCTTTTACTCCTCTGACTTGCCCTCAATCCAATCAGTTCTTCACTTCATATTTTGAATTGAGTGTTTTGTGTATGAATCTAGAGAAACATCACTAGGACTCTACTCTGGTTATCGAACTTTATAATCTTGGTGGTTCCTTATTATTTGTGAGACTAAGTGGTCATACTTTCAAAATTATTACATTCGAAGGAAGGAGATAATCAAGGAAAAAGGATTAAGAACTTTCACTATATGAATATTGCCTCCTAATGCTCCCTGCTTCAGAAAAGCAATTCAATTCAAATAATTTGAACGCTAGCTGGTGCATATCACAGGAAGCACAAATCAGGGACAATGTTCGGGATTTTTTAAGAGTATCCCTCCCTAAGCATACTGGTAGTAAGGAGCAAAGCAGATCACATAAAAAGCATCCTTTAAAGGAGCATCATTGTATCAAAAAAATCTAAATAAGGCAAACTAGTAGAATTCTCTTGTCAAGAATTTGGACGTCAAAAAAATTGGCACAAATAGAAAAACACAGTGATGCGGAAACAAAAAAAGAAACTTCATTTTCAGATTCTCTGGATTGCGCACATGGCCTTGATTATTTTAGCCATAACTTCTCCTGGAAGACTCCAGTTGACTCTCCATTTGAAGTATTAGAAAGATGAATGAAGCTATTTTCAAATGAAACTGGTTGTGCATGAATTAGAGTTCACTGGAGAAAGCTATATGCAGAATACTGAGAGATGGTCAATCTAGACTGCATTGACTTTTATGTTTTCTAGGATATTAACTTAGTCAAACATGTCTTTTAGTATTTCGATATCATTTAATTGTCCGCTAGAATTTTGAAATTCTCATGCTTGAAGGATTGTTTCAAGCATATGTATATCTTAGATATCTTATGGAAATCAGTATGTGCTGAGTTTGATCATAGTTAAGCTTTCTGATTTGTGTTTACTCTACATTTCATTGGTGGATTGCATTGACTATGAGTGTTTATCTATATCACCAAGTTGGGGTCCTTGGAGTGGTGATTCATCATATCTATCTAAAATGTTGATATCTGTATTTCTGGATCGATCGGCTAACCCCTTTATCCGTTGTTTATTCTAAGTCGTGTTTTTATATCCTTAAAGAGTCTTCGGCATCATATCCTCATATTTCCCTTTAATCCATCCCACCCATACCGTCCCCATATCACATAGAAAAGACTAACCAAAACAATTAGCTCGTGTAAGATTAGAGATTACACTGTTGAGGGATCTCGTTAGCCTGGCCTATGATGAACATGGATGAGCAGTTTAGAGTCTATACCGGATTTCAATTATTCATTCAATTACTTCAGTCGCTTGAAAAATGAAAAGCAATTACAAATAAACAACTATGGAATGAATCAAAATGCCCTAATCAAAGAGACGTATAATTAATTTCTAACTCCGAATATTTTAAATCCTTAGCATGAATACACGTCAAGATAACATGTTATTAAATATCCTTCATAAGTGAAATTTCACTGTAGAAACACTGGGCAATGTTCCATAATGACTTAATTATCCCATATATATCACAATCTTTTCCAAATATATTGACGGATTCTGTTTCAGCTGATCTTTGAAAGAAAAAAAAACAACTTTTTTACCATCACCAAAGGTTCCAAAAATTAGAAATCAAATGAATCCTCCGATTGGATCCCGGCAGCATCATCTTCGATGTGATCAGCTTCTCCACTCCCTAGATACCCCCAAAAAAAATCCTCATCAAACTCCTAAACCCTAACCCTAACCCACCAAATAATAATAATAATAATAACGAAAATTACCAGCACGATCCCATCTTTGCACTTGATCCCAATCACGGTCCTGCAATTAAGAAAACATCACCTTTAGTTTGAAAATGCAAATTTGCGAAAAGATAGGGTACTAAAATGCAAGAAAACGCACCCGCTGTTGTCGACAGCCTTGGCGGCGTACTCGATCTGAAACACGCGGCCATCGGGCGAGAAGGTAGTGACAGAGAGATCGTAGCCGGTGCCGATGCTGCTCATCGTTCGACTCTGTCCTCGTTCTGCAAAATTAGAAGATTGTTTTGGGTTTCTCGGTCTGGATCGAGAAGAGAAAGGGGGTTGGTTGTAAAAAAAGAGGAAGGTTTGGGTTTCTTGGGTCTTAAGAAGAGGGAGGGGGCAGAGTGAGGGAGGTTGGAAGATCGGGTGAGAGGAGGATGGTACGGTACAGGGAGGTGGACAGACGAGTTGCCTACAGCTGGACTTTCCAATGGGTTATTCCGGTATTAGCCCCCTATTCTTTGT